GCTATATATAAATGCAATTAAAAACGGTTGGTGGTTGATACATGATATGAAGATCCTGTGGCCATAATACGCATGAAGTCATACCTTACCAATTGAACTATACAGCATGATCAAACCAATGCCTTGGGGTAAGAATTAGCCTATTACGCGTAGTACGGTGCAGATAATCAGATGGTTGTCCACGTCGCCATCCGCAACAAATCAAAACAGAAGAGATCACAACTTTCACCAGCATAGTCATGGCTCACACAAAACCAGTACAAGCAGCACCATAATAGGACCACACACCCCCACCAATCTTTCTTTCTCAAAACTAATAATGCGCGCATATTGACCTCTCTGTATGTACATTAAAAAAATACATGAGAATAAATGATACTTGAGGGTTTAAAACATACCCACCAAAAGGCGGTCGGACAAAGGCGCGTACCCGGCCGCTGTCTCTATCCTGCTACCAAAATCAACCCGGAAACGGACTGAACCATCGCATATCCTCACACACGTGAAAACACCTGCATGAGAGCCCACACACGCATAGGCGTCATCATCACGGCTTATACTGAGGGGGGATGATATGAAGTGCTTGAATGTTAACTCATAGGTTTCATGATGGTTTATACTGAGTGGGGTGGTTTGAAGTGCTTGAATGTTAACTCATAGGTTTCATGATGGTATATGCTGAGTGGGGTGGTATGAAGTGGTTGAATGTTGACTCGTAGGTTTCAAAACGGTTTATGCTGAGTGGGGTAGTATGAAGCACTTGAACGCTATGTGAATGACGGAAAGAAAAAAGAAAGCAGATGAAAGAAACAATGTGGCTAGTTAAATACTCTAGTATATTTGATCATACAATACGAGGCCAATGAATCACACGCGCTCGTAGTTTAGTACCACTACGTGAAGTGTGAGTGTGAGCTCACTACAGCACACGGATCGGTGAATGGTCAATCACACTCCATGCAATGGAATGAAACAAATCTCAGTCCGGCTGAAATACATAGCCAGTATCAACTCTCTCGAAAACCAAACTCTGTTAATAAAAGTGCCACACTGTCATGAATCAACATATATGGATCAACTGAGTATGTCTACCACTGCTTCTACATTTATATACCTATTCCTATACACAAGCACGTAAGATGAGTACCACTTATACTAGCCGTCACGCTATATCAATAGCCTCTGGGTCGGACATACCGGGTTTGTCCGTCCAGCGGTCCCGCATACTCTGTCGGGAGGTGCACAACGATCGGAGACGAATCCACGCACTTGCCCATCGCCACACGCCAACTCACCCTCCACAGAGACGTTCGCTCAGTATTCTCTGAGAGATACACAAGTTCGGGTTAGTTAGCTTGGTACGTGGTAGTACTTAGCTTGGTACGTGGTAGTAGTTAGCTTGGTACGTGGTAGTACTTAGCTTGGTACGTGGTAGTAGTTAGCTTGGTACGTGGTAGTACTTAGCTTGGTACGTGGTAGTACTTAGCTTGGTACGTTGTAGTACTTAGCTTGGTACGTGGTAGTAGTTAGCTTGGTACGTGGTAGTAGTTAGCTTGGTACGTGGTAGTAGTTATCTTGGTACGTGGTAGTAGTTAGCTTGGTACGTGGTAGTACTTAGCTTGGTACGTGGTAGTAGTTAGCTTGGTACATGGTAGTACTTAGCTTGGTACGTGGTAGTACTTAGCTTGGCACGTGGTAGTACTTAGCTTGGTACGTGGTAGTAGTTAGCTTGGTACGTGGTAGTACATAGCTTGGTACATGGTAGTACATAGCTTGGTACGTGGTAGTACTTAGCTTGGTACGTGGTAGTATTTAGCTTGGTACGTGGTAGTAGTTAGCTTGGTACGTGGTAGTACATAGCTTGGTACTGGGTCTCCCACACGCCCATGCGCACGCCACTGTGACCACATGACAGCCTGGATATACAGTAGGTGCATGCAGTACTGTCTAGAACACAAAGATTCAAACGCAATCAGATCTCACTCTACTCTGTGCGCCTATCCGAAGTCCTTTACCGTAGCACCCAACAACCTGTCCTATATTTCACCATTTCGGCCCTCTTTTCAGCCCTACTTTTTGGCCCTACTTTTCAGCCCTGGGATACAAATAAGTACTAACCACACCATAATATTTAAGACGACACCATAAACAACAGACCTCCAATTAAATACACAAGGCAGCGCGCGCACAGTGGCATGAACAACTTATAACAAACATATAACAGTGAGATATGATTCGATCAACAGCTCGTAGCATGCTTTCTAACTAAACCTTACTGCGAATGCTCACAGCAATACACCGAGGACGTGGGGTAAAGCCGCTGTTCATGCGCCTCGTTCAGGCGCTGTTCCGGTGCTGTTCAGGCGTTGTTCAGGCGCTGTTCAGGCGCTGTGCTGATCAGAGTTGGATCAGACATGAACCAAAACTAGCGCATACATACAACACTTTGCGTGCATTTGTTCCCGTTGGCTGTACCTTTCTGCGATCGTTGAGCGGATGATGGTGGTGACCGCGGCGGTGCCATCTCTGCATTTTCATTGGTCAGGATTGAACTAGCGGCCATCTCTGTCTTCTTATTGGATGACGTGCTGAGTAACTGCAGGGACAGGTCCAGTACAAAATCGAACGGGCGGTGCAGCACAGCATCCAAAAGCAGCTGTATTCAGGTACAAATGCATGCATCTCTAGGATTAGCACAGTATAAGTAGGACTAGTACAGTTGTAAGCGAATGTATGCATCTCTAGGATTAGCACAGTATGTCTAAGAATAGTACAGTTGTAAACGAAATTATGTAATTCTAGGATTAACACAGTGTAACTAGGATTAGTAAAGTTGTAAGCGAATGTATGTATCTCTAGGATTACCACAGTATAACTAAGATTAGTACAGTTGTAAGCGAATTCATGTAATTCTAAGATGAACACAGTATAACTAGGATTAGTACAGTTGTAAGTGAATGCATGTATCTCTAGGATTAGCACGGTATATCTAGGATTAATACAGTTGCAAGCGAATGTATGTATTCTAGGATTAGCACAGGAGGAACTAGGAT